ATATATATATATATATATATATATATATATATATATATATAATCTCATGCTAATAAGACATAAAGTACTATTAAAATAAGAGAAATCTCCAATCAGGAATTAGGCAGCGTGGTGGATAACGTTCTAAACTCTCGCCTTATAGAAGGAGGATCGGGATCGAATGTGAGACGTTTGTGCGTTGTAAATTAGAGTCACTTTTAAAATATGGGTCACTTTTAAAAATATATCTATCGCATTTCATTCAAAATGTACCCTACCTCTATAAACATATTATCATTCAAATTTGCGGTATTAAAAAGTCACAGTTTGTATAGTTTTGTCTGTGACTGAGTGTACTTATTAAGCAATTAAGCTCTTGCTTAGTATACATTTAAGGCGAGTCACCTGAGGAGAAGCGGGAAAAACTATTTTGCTAAACCAAAAATAATGGTCTTACAAAAATATACGATACTCCTAAGGTTATTGTATAAAGAATGTGCTAGTGAGTTACACAATAACATGTACTTCACCCGATCATATAAAAGCCTGAAAACAAGCTAAAACAAGTCTAAACAAATTATTTAAGAATAAAATATTTAACTTTGCACATCATTTTTATATGGATATATTTCACTGTAAGTACTACAGCGAACCTTCTAAATTTTGGTTTACAACTTAAGGTCTGTTATTAAATTCACATTTATCCAAAAATGTGAAGATGACTCAGCGGTTTAGCGACGTTGCGCCGTGCCCCGCTGTGCTATCAGTCGCCATCGGGCGTTTAGCGATATTGCATCTGTGTCAAATTTTCTTCGTCTGCTCTTATTTCATTTATGTTAATTTTCAGTGTGCGTGTTCGCGTTCAGGTTACGTGACGCGAGGTGGTTGAAATACCTCGCCTTAGCAAACGATAGACGAGATAGCAGTCAAAATCAAATTACCTGTATACTTGTAGGAGCTGGACTATTAAAGTTTAGTGGACTCGTAAATCCGCTGTCGTTTGATGATGATCTTATAATTTCTGGCTGAGCCCTTGGTTCATTCTGTTCGAGGGTTCTATATGGGTGTAAAGGATGTGGAAAAATATTTGGATGTTGATGAGTAGAAGTAGGTACCATGTGAGACTGATGTTGCCGATATGATGGTGGTGGTCTTTTATTTTGAAGTAGTGCGTTTTGAGGATAGTCAGAGTGAGCTTGTTGCAATTGGGTAAAAAAAACTGTTTTTGGATCATTGCTATGAGGAACTTGGTTTCCTTGGTTTGTTGTATGATTACGAAGCAAATGCTGTTGAGCCATTGGCTGAAGCGGTAAATGTTGTGGAGGCACTTGCTGCTGAATAAATTGTTGTTGAGGCAATTGCCGCTGGAGAAATTGCTGTTGAGCCAATTGCTGCTGAGGCAATTGCTGTTGAGGTGATTGCTGTTGTGGCAATTTTTGTCGAGGCGATTGTTGTTGAGGCAATTGATGTTGTGGCAATTTTTGTTGAGGCAATTGTTGCTGTGACAATTGCTGCTTTGGCAATTGCACTTGATGCCAATTTTGTGAAGACGACTGCACATAAGTCTCTAATTGCTGAAGAAAATTTGATGGTTTTTGAATTATAGTGGACTTTGCCGTATGATATGGCGTAAAATTGACGTTTGTTTGCTGTAGTTGTTGTCTTAACACTGAATGATCGATTGTTATGCTCACTTGCTGTCCTGGAGGTCCAGATGAAAATATTACATCACTCGTCGGTTTTTTTGATAAAGAAATTAAATTCACGTCCAGATTTTTTAATCCCATGTCAGTATTTGTTTTTGGTAAATCATTATTTACAACGACTTTACAAGCAGCATAATCGTTCGCTGGTTTTTTGGTACTACTGTTTGAAGATGTTGCAAGACTATTGTTTCCAGGTGCTAGATTAGTATTAATTTCAAGTTCTACATGACCATGGTTTGGTGGTATTAGTGGGCCATGAAACGCAGATATTGCAGAAATATTATTTAAAGCTGTCACAGGACCACTGTTAGCGGGATACGTAGGTATATTGTTAGGCTTTACACAATAATTTGTTTGTATTAAGGAGTCACTATTTGTATCTACCGATGGCATACTATTTGTAGACGGCGCAGTGATAAATGTTGTGTATGGTGGTGGCATATTTGAATTAACTCTCCATTTTGATATAGTGTTGATGGTATTTTTTGTTGTATCATCCAGTACAGCACTGATTTCAGGATACGAGTTGATATTTGGGAGTTGCGAAGGTTTCTCAATATTGGTTTTCTGTAATATGTTGTTATTACACGTTAATTTAATTGATTCTATTTTGTGGTTTTCAAGAACTTCTTCCATGGTGAGGTTTGTATTGTTAAGAGCATTCTTTTTCTCCACTGTCCACGCAAGCAATTCTGTCAAAATTACTTCAATTTGTTGTTGTGTACAAACGATATTCTTTTCACTACCGAGTTTTATGGTGTCGACAATGAATTGTCTGATAAATCCTTCGTTACCAGCATTTGGCACCATAATATTTTTGACAGTAACAAAACATAATTTGAATAATTGATATTTTAAACGTAAGAAACTAGTCATAGATTTATCAATTTGATTCTGTTCTTCGCTGCGGTTTTGTATTAACATGTGTAGGGAAAATGCTTTTATAATAAATAGTAAACTTTCGGAGACCCTGTGCAGCAATTTGTTTATATAAACAAATTCCTGTGTTCCATTTATAGACGACGGTGATTTTTGTGTCATAGTCTTTCGTAGAGGTTGTGCATTGCATAGTTCTCGTACTTTTTGTGTGTCTATTTTTACAATCCTTTCTGGTAATTTGGCATTGAGTTCACAATGCCTCATTTTTTCAGTGTCTAAAAAATGATTCTTATCTAAATTATTTACTTCTTTCTCTTCACCGGTTTCAGTTCCCACCAATAGTTTCCGAAATTTCGTAGGTGGATGATCGTTATATTTTTCCGATTCGTTAGACAGATTTTTGTCTTTGACATATTCTTCCTTAAATTTTGTGTTTGGATATATATCATTTAATTCTTGTGTATTACTTTTGAGTTCATTTCTTAATGTTTCGCTATCACTATTGGAAACTGCTTTACTTATTTTGATATCTTTAGATAAATGATTGTTGGTAGTATTCTCGTCAAAATCAGTATTTGGGCTTTGTTCACCGTCACTCTCATCAAACGAAAGGATAACTTCAGTGGGTTTACTTATGTCGTAGCTAGCCAAACGGTGCATAATCTTCTGTTCTAAGTTATCTAGAAAAGAAACAAAATAGGTTATTTTACTGAAGAAGATCGTCAGCATTGGAGGAGATATACCAACACGGTAATGTTTGAATTATATTAACAGTTCAGAATTTGTTACATCTTTCCAAATTAGAAATTATGACCAATCATTCTCAAGATTTCATAGTCTTCAACCGGCAGCGATCGAGGCTTAAGGACATTCTATTGTGTTTTTTCTTCTATGGGCTTATTTGATACTTTTAAATATTGTTCTAGTACTTAAGCGGACGATGGCACAACAACTAACAAAAGTTTTATCGCAATCCCATGAATAATAAGGGAACACATACCAGACAAACATACATACACGTATATGTATAACTTAGCTACCTAATTGACTCACAATAAGTCAACAAAATTAAAAATTACTAGTTTTAAAAATAATTCAAAATAAAATAAAATGCATTTATTTCAGACAACAATAGATCCATAAAAGTGTTAGTATTAAAAAAAATAATTAAATAACTATGTTAGTACGCAAACTTAACTGAAGAGGGAATCAATAGAAGGCCACTGTCCCATCTATTTGCAACAACTGACAGCAGTCTGTGGCGGCTGGCGAACACTCCACGCGCCGAAAGCATCAACACCCGCATCCGCAAACACCCCATGATGTTTAGTAACAGTAGAGATCCTTGTGAAAGAGTTCATACAGGGAAGTACTGCCACCGTACCTATTTCTGCCGCCAAGCAGTAATGTCAGCATTACTGTGTTCCGGTTTTGAAGGGTAAGGGTGTTAGTGAAATTACAGTCATATAGGACTTGTCAACTTATGTCTCAGGGTGACGGGCGCAGTGGTGCCCCTCGGATCTTTGCGATGAAAAGCTCTGAGTGGCACTGCAACTTTTATGGATATGCGTGTAGATTACCATCAGGCGTACGACTTGTTCGTCCTGTCACTTGATAGTATTAAAAAAATGCTCTACAGTATCGCGGCAGCCGCAACATAACCGGGAACGCGTCATTGTACTGTACACGTATTTTAGTGACCTTTGGGTATACCTGCTCCATAAACTATAGGCGTATAGTTTGCGTCTACGTTCTCTCTCAATATCCGCGTCATCACGCAAATCGTTGGTTACCAAGTGACCAAGGTGAGATTACCCTAGTCAGTTGTTGACCGTTAAGAAGGATGGGAGGGACATATTATGGTCTCTGGTTTCCCGCCTTAAAAACCATATATTCGCTTGTAAGCACTTATACTTAAGGTTATGTTTCATGGCATACAATTCGCATATATGCCTATAAGTGCTATAAGTACCTATAAGCTATCAACAGATGGGCTCAGCAACACCGTGTCATCGATATAACTTATGTTGTTAAAGCAGACTTGGCAAACGACATGCGTGTTTTGCATAAATAGGCAGACGTTAAAAATGTCAAGCATTTTTATCTAATCAATTTTATAATGTGAAGGTGTTTTATCAAATATAGTGCAAAATGAGTTTTGTTATATCTAGGCTTGAGGTATTTGTAATATGTGAGATATTGGGTATTGAAAGAAAGATAATAAATGCGTTATCGTTACCTTTGTAAAAAACGATACATTATTCCTTTTAATTAGTGTTATAGAAACTGCTTTTTTTAAGGTAATTGTATTACGAGTAGTTTGCAAATGCAGTAGAGCTCCTTGTGAAATAGTTCGTCCAGGGAAATACTGCGACTTTACCTATTTCAGCAGCCAAGCAACAATTGTGAGTATTATTGCGTTCCGGTTTTGAAGGGTAAGGGTGCTGGTGAAATTACAGTCATAAGTTGTCAATTGCACAGGTTCGGAACGACTGTGAACGAACGTAGCAGCAGTTCTCGATCGAAAACAGGGAACTATCAACGTGTGTCTACTACTTCTAGACGTTAAGAGGCTAAAAAGGATAGAAATTGTTAACAATTATTGTTGTATTGTTCTAACGAACACCGACACCTCCGTCATCAACTTAATGTCTCAGGGTAACAGAAGCAGTGACAGTGTCACTCAGACCTTTGCAATTTAAAACCTTGAGTGGCACTGCACGGCGCACAACTGGTTCGTCCAACCACATGGTATCATAAAAAAAATCAGGTAGTTTGGTGCAAGTACATTGCGTGTCACCACGTGTTCCACGGGTGTTATAGGCGTCTTAAGAAATAAATTAAAAAAAAAAAATTGATAGAAACACCGTATTACACAGAATTGGTTTTGCAAACGTTTGGACTAGGCAATATAACCTGTTCATTTGTGACTTAATCGACGGCGGTAGTCGCGAAGTATAGTAGTGTAGACGAAATATGGTTTGCACCGATTCGTTTTATCGCTTTATCTTTGGAGTACAACACGTAATGCACGTGCCATCTGTATAGTGCAAATAACTGCTTAGTTTAATCTTTATGCGTAACTAACTTTGCTGAATTAGTAAGAAAAGAGTCGGTGATCGTTATTTTACGAAGTACTCACAATTAAAAGAAAAAACGACTTGAAGAGTATTTGAAATAATTCAAAATTGGAAGACAAAGCATTTAGCGCAACCATGACTGTTACAATGGACCAAGATAATTTAAATTCATGTATGCTTTAAGTCAAAGAGGTATTAATGGTTTTATTACCCTATTATAATAGAAAGGATACGCTGTTCCAACCGAATTAGAAACTGATCTGCGCTCCAAAACACGAGTCGCAGATGTGGGCCAACAAGCGGGTAAACTGAAATGAGATTGGGCGGGTCATCATAATAGGAAGTGCTTGTGTGTTTAGAAGAATATTTAATGTACGTCCAAATGTCACAATGCCGTCTTGTTAGAATAAGGTAACTCCCGCCTACACGCTCACTTTGCTCGCTCGGCTCGTACTGCTTTGTCATATACTAACCTAACCTAAACTCAGAAGAGGGGGTCGAGTCAGCTCGGAAACGCGAACAGAAATAACTATTTTGATTTTTTTGTCTTTCATTTAATACTTTGCCAAATCTACGGCCGGCATTATAAGCAATATCAAGTATTCTATACAACGCCTAAAAATGTGTATAATAGTTTAAAAAAATGTTAACTATTATATAGTTTGGCACGGTATGCTGGGAGATGTTGGTTCAAATTTAGCCGGATCGAAGGATTTTTTTCCTAGTGTACGTTTTTGAATCAATTATTATATATACTGTTTAAAGAAGCGCGGTATTGAATGGTATGACAAGATATTGTATACAATCCCTGTAGTAGACACATTGCCGTTAACTATACACATAAACATATAAATTGTAAGTAGTGGCAATGGCAACCTGAGCTGAGTTTCAAGAGTAGGCACGCACTTTTTCGTGAAATGCCCAAGCACAGTAACATATATTGAATGTTACTGTGCTTGGGCATTTCACTCGTCACTTAGGAAAGTTGTAGACGGGTGGTGAATTAAACTATTTTTATTTTGATTTTATATGCACACTTCACTTTTCGTTATATTTATCTTCTTAAATTAAAAATTTGTAATAGTCATAGTCGTAGTCGTTTATTAATAACAAAAAAAGTTACAAAGTTACAAAAATTGTACAATAACGAATAATTAAATTGATTTCCAAGAAATGATTAACACGATAGTTAAATCTTAATTCGTTCAATAATAATAATAATAAAAATAAGTCGCTTCAAAAAATGATAATATAAAATAGATTAGTAATAATAATATTATTATAATTAATATTATTCAACTGCATCGGTGGCCGAACGGTTACCATACCGGATTGCTACGCAGAGGTCCCAGGTTCGATTCCCGGGCCGGGAGAAATATTTATATGGCCTACATTTATTTCTCTCGTGAGTTTGGGTGTAATTTGTGGTTGTCTATATGTGTGTCTCCATGGCACCCGCGACACAGGGTTTCCCTAGTGCGGGGTTATGTTGAGTGTGTGCGTTATTATTATTATTATTATTAAATAATAATAATAATAAGGACAATAATGATAATAATGATTATAATAATAATAAAAAATAAAATACAAATAAAAATATTATCAATTACATTACAATTACGTCGAATTACTAACAATAAATTAATAGCCTCGCACAATACTCTAATCAAACATTTACAGTCCCACGTTATCTGGTAACCGGTTGTAGACTGAGCTCTGCTCTGCTCTGAGCCTGCAGTACTCCACCAAGTGGTCTCTGGCATATAAAGCTGCCTGAAAATACACGATAACTGGGACCATTAGTATTTTCATGGTCCGGAAAAGAGGTATCGCTGATGCATTCTGTGACACTCTTGCAATGGCCCTTACTGCTCTTTTGACATTCTAAGGACGTGCTCCGAGTCGGCGGCTCGTCCTCAGAACTCAACACCATACTGTAGCAGCGAGTGCACAGATGCGAAATAGCAATTCCGGATCATGCTGTAGTGCTATACACACAGCTGATATACGCCTTAGTGCAAAACATGCACGACCAACCTTTTCACACAGTTTATCTATGTGACTTTCCCAGGTCAGGCTACTGCCAACTTGAAAACCTAGAAAGGTTGTATTGTACAACTGGGCCACCTTTGCATCTCCAACTCTCACTTTCATTTGTCTGCAGGTACGACCTGACAAGTTGAAATGCATACAATTAGTCTTATTTATATTCAAAATAAGATCATTAATTTTGTACCAATGATTTAGGTCACCAGCTACGTCATTCATCCTCTGTTCTAGTAGGTCTACATTTGGTGCAGTCACGACTGCAGCGACATCATCTGCGTACATCAGCACGTGTCCGTCGCGCACGTACACTGGTACGTCGTTCAGAAGTAGAACATAATATTCGAGAGCGATGATCCCTGTGCTACACCAATTATGGTCTTCAGTGGCTCTGACTTCACTGTCTTCTGACATGAAGTCAGAAACCAGTTTTAGTGCAGAGCCCTGAACACCAAAATATTTAATTTTTGTGGTACGTGATTGTTAGTCTCATCGAAGGCCTTCGAAAGGTCGCAGAAAATGACAGCTACCCGCTGCAGACTCTCGCAGGCAGC